AGTGAAAGAGTGAGCCTAAAGCAACAACCCCCAGAACTTCAAACAAGAAGTGGTTTTCTGCTTTGGTTTCTGTGCTGCTGAGGATTTATTCTTAGTCAAGGACCTGGTCTAGGCAGAGGTGTTGGGTTGGGCTTGTCCTTCTGGGTTCACTCAAGTGATTCCATGAACTGAATGGTGTCTTTCAAACAATGTGAGGACTTGCAGCTTTCAAGATAGCAGACAACTGGGTATGTTAAGTCAAGAAGTGAAAAATTATTTTGCTACTTTACTTGAAGAACAAGTTTGAGGAGAAAAATCTACCCCAGTTCCTTGTTCACAGGGTCTGAGAGGGTGGTCTTGATAGTGATGATGTATTTTTTTTTGTTTTTTGTGGTACGCGGGCCTCTCACTGTTGTGGCCTCTCCCGCTGCGGAGCACAGGCTCCGGACGCACAGGCTCAGCGGCCACGGCTCACGGGCCCAGCCGCTCCGCGGCATGTGGGATCTTCCCGGACCGGGGCACGAACCCGCGTCCCCTGCATCGGCAGGCGGACTCTCAACCACTGCGCCACCAGGGAAGCCCGATGATGTATTTTTTAATGAAAAAATGAATCAGAAGAACTGACCTGGGAAGGCAATTTCCTTTAGATCTCCAGTAGCAGCCGAAGTCCTCTCTCTGCCCGAGCCTTGGCATGGTATTTGAGGGATGTGGGTATGTGTGTGTGTGCTGTTCATTCTGTTTCAGTTTTTTCATTTAATTTTAGTAAATAAGGAGAAATTATTATTTTCTATATTGATGAGCTTCAGGTTGAGCACGGAAGAGGTGAATGTTTCTAGGAGTTTTATGTCTTCAGTGATGCATACGGTAAACAGTAGTCTGCAAGTCCATGGTTCCAGAGAGAGAACATCTGGAGAATCTGAATGCAATCAACCAAGCTGCATGGCACTGCCTACAAGCCTCCACCACTGAAGAAGGGCTGCCTGCATTCCGCTGAGGATTCTTACAGGCCCATGAATGAGGCTGTACCAATACTGATTGACTTTTCTGCTGTATGGCTCAATTCAAACCAAGCACTAAGAAAAAGATGCCTTCCGTGCATGTTTAAAAGGTGACCATCATGAAAGCAGTTAGAAGTCATTAAGTCTGCCACATCACTGATCCACAGTATTGATCTGTGGAGGTAACGGATAACCCGTGATGACTGAGTAGTTTAGAAACATGGGTAGTCCCACCTCTGTGACCTACTTTCTTTGTTTCACATCTATCAAGCAATCATAAAAACACTATTGATTTATCTCAGAAAGTTACTGTGAGGTTAAAATAAGGTTTTCAAAATATTTAAAAATACTATAATAGTAAAAATTATTATTATATCTTTTAATACTGAGAGATAAAAATATGATTGGTCGATGGTCAACCTCAAAGCTTTTAAAAACGTGTAGCTGGACATTGCTCATGGCTGCTATTGCCACGGCTGGCTATCTTCAGAAAGCAAGGCCCTTGGAAAAGCCTAGTCCCCTTGATATTTAAGAGACATGTTACATCAGAAAAATACAGACGTTTATATCATGACCTTATATGTGTGAACAATTTGAAATAAACTGGAATATCATTCGTGCCTGTGCTTTGAAATTAGTTTTGGGGACTGTGTACGTAAAGACACACTCTGCTTGGAGATGTTTTCTACTATAATGAAGAAAAAAGGTAATATGAATTCATAACACGGAGAAAAAAAGCATTTATGAAGGGCTATATTCTAGGGAGGGGGGTAGGAGAACCTTCAAACAAAGCATGAGTATGAAGAGTTGTGTACACATGTACAAGGAATTTAAGCTCAGTTTTCTGTGTTAGGTTTGAAAGAAAGTAAATTCAAACCAGTAATTGTGGTGAACCATACCCTTCAGGGAAAAAAGAAGTGACCATTGTTTCTAGAGAAGCACAGTGCTCTTTTGCCTAAGATGCCTCAACTTAGGAGAGCTACACTGATCATGTGCAGAAAGGAGTCAGGAGGCAAAAGCAGAGTCTTTTAAAAAAGCACACCTTGGGGCTTCCCTGGTGGTGCAGTGGTTGAGAGTCCGCCTGCCGATGCAGGGGACACGGGTTCGTGCTCTGGTCTGGGAAGATCCCACATGCCACGGAGCGGCTGGGCCCGGTGAGCCGTGGCCACTGAGCCTGCGCGTCCGGAGCCTGTGCTACGCAACAGGAGAGGCCACAACAGTGAGAGGCCCGCCTACCACAAAAACAAAACAAAACAAACAAAATAAAAAACGCATGCCTCCCAGATTTTCGTGACAGTTTAAACAATGCAAAAATAATGCTTCTAGGAATACACCTGGGATCTATGACTGTGTGTATGTGTGTGTGAGAGAGAGAGACAGAGAGGGAGAGAGAAAGAGAGAGAGACAGAGAGAGAGAGAGAACCTGTTCATCTCTTTCTTCATCCCCTTTTATCTCCCTCCGCCTCCATTTTTCCTTCTAAGATGTGAGACCTGTCATAGTTGGCCTTCTAATCTTACAAAAAAACATCTAAAAAGGAAAAAAAAAAAAGTTGTCTGTTTAAAGGCAATGTGCATTTCCCCAGGACCCCACAGGGCTGAATATTCCTTATATCTCTGGCTCTCTCTTATCTTGAAATAGAGTTAAAAGTGACCCTATCTTCTTTTCTGTGAGCTAGTTAGGAGGTCACATTTGTTTTCATTTTAGTTGTGGGAGGGGTTATTTTTTATTTTTATTTCTTCTGTTGCTTTTCAGAGAACCTGACAGTAGGCTACTGGTGGTGGTTTCAGGTATGCACTCTGGTTGGTTGGTTTCAGGTGGGCAGGATGGTGTAGGGAGGGGAAGGTGAGGAGGACAGGGGAATGCCAGTCCCTGCAGGCTGCTCAGTACACTCTGTTCTCAAGGCTGTTTGCTATGCGGGCCGCAGGCTTTGGGCCTTTGAAGGGTTGAATACCATCTTTTGATTTACCATGGCTGATGGCTGATGGTGGGGAGGATTGGAAACTCAAGAACACCCACAAAGATCTAGCAAAAGAGAAAAACAAAACCCAAAATAACCAAACACACACATACACAAACCAAAGAAAAACCAAGAGACACACTGACAACAGAAATCAAATGTGCTTGGAAAAGAAAAAGGGCATAGTGTTGTAAAAGCTGCAACTTGGGGAAAAAAAGAGACACACAACTAAACAAGCCACTGCTCAAAACAGTCTTCTGTGTCCTAGAGATTTTTAGGATTGTCGTATAGGCATTTTTCAAGAGTGACCAGTTGACCTGACAGCAGATAAGACTGGTATTGATTTCCCACCTTCCCACCAGGCCATCTAGGGTTGTGTATCATCCTGCATCTGATACATTTGTCCATCACGTCTTCTCCATGCCTCTGACAAGCCATTCCACTGACATCTTTATGGAGGAGTTGTGTATCTAAACACATTCGACACAGCCAAACAAATCAGAGGCTTAAAAGTTTGAGCGCCGCTGTATCACTAATCCTGTCAACATAGGGCACTGACTTTCTACTGAGTAGAATCAGCAGAAATAGAGACTGCTTTTTTTCCTTCCCAAAACCAAGAGGTCCTCGCTCTCCACAGAAGATTGATTAGAATCCAGTCAAGAAGGTCAGCAGCCTGAGAGGATGTGAGGCCATAAAAGAGGGATTTCCAAAGTATCATTATAGGTAATTACAGCAGAAGAACAGGTCCTCTCTCAATAAAGCTACAAATTTGAAACTGTCATAGTTTTTCAACACTAAGGAAAAATGGGTATGTATTATATAAGAACAGAGTAACTGGTAACAGTGTGACTTAATAATTTTTATCAAAAGGGCTGTCTAGCGAGGGTAGGAATGTCAGGAAGGAAGAAGGGACACATACCAGGAGCCACACCATCCTTCCATGTGTCAGAGACTCTAAACTTATAGAATTTTTCCCCGATGGGACAACAGAAGTAATGTGACTTGTGCTCCCCACTAGGAGAAAGTAAATATAAGGAGATACTAGCGTCATCAAGGCCACCAGAATTTCCCATGGGAACAGTCCTTGTGGAGCTTCAAACAATGCATTTCTCATCCCACTCACATGGCTTCGTTCCCTCAAACACCACCCTCCCATTTTGCTTCCATCTCATGCCCTGTCCCTGTCCTCTGCTTTGACTGTTTTGAGTGGTGACCAAGGAGTTGGACTTAATGGGAATGGGCTTGATCAAAAGATGGACCAAAGTAGCGTGTTTTACACAAAGCTAAACGATTCAAAAAACCAAGAAAGGAAACTTAGAAAACAAATCTTCTAGTAAAGAAACCACCACTGTCAGAAACCAGAAATTGACATCAAAACCTCATGCAGAAACAAGAAGGTGTTTGTTGCTGTTGGGATTTATCCTTGGCCTATTAAACAAGAGGTGAGCAGCTAAATTTCAAGAAACAAACAAAGAATTCAGTCAAACCAATGAAAATCAGAAAAGAAAGGGAAGACAAGCCCAAACAGAGTGGCAGAGGGTACTTCATACGATACCTAAGTTAACCATGAGCTTCACGCGCCCCCCATCCAGCTCCAAACGCAGGGTGTCAGCAGAGTCCCTGGAGGTAGTAGCCACCAGCAGCCCATAAGCTCGCTGGGACATGAAGCGGAAGGACACGTCCTCTGCCTCGGTGTGCATGACCATGGGCATGATGATCTTCATGTACATGCTGCCGTCGTAGCTCAGGATGGACGCCTCTGCAGAGAAGAAAGGAGGGTATCGTCAGGATGAAGGATGTCAGAGTCTGCCTTTGCTTCCAGGGTAAGCAGAGTAGAAGGAGAGGGCACCAAATTAGTAGACAGGTGGCTTGTGCTTGCTAGACCTCCATTGCCGCTTTTAAGCTGTATGCAGACCCCTTAAACTCTGACACTTGTAAAAGGCATCTGATGGCACTGGTCCCTGCCCTACCATGCTCACTGACTTGTCAATGGTACCACATGAAATAATGGGTGTGAAGGCATTCTGCAAAAGTGAAAATGCCCTCACAAATGGTAGTAATTCTGTATGCTGTAGACATGACACAGCAAAACAAGACACTAAACAAAACTTGAGTCCTGTAAATATTTCATGAAGAACAGGAGGGAAGCAGCAGTTTATAATCACCACAGCAAACAAATACATACTTGCCAGAGTGCTGCGAGCAAAAGAAAAGAGCAGAAGCACAGCCAGGCCTCGCAGAAGTTTGCTTGGCCCATTCAAAGAAGATTGATGGAGCCAGGGCCAGAACAACAACAACAAAAGCTAAGGACACCTTCAAGAACCAGACATTTTACTTTTATTCAAATAGCACTTTTACAGGAAAGGAAGAAGCTCACTTTTATTTGAAACCTTCTCTAGTCCAAACACTTGGGTTATGAGCCCTCCACCCCCTCCAATATGTTATCTCATTTAATGCCACAACGTGGGTCTACCATTCCTACTTTCGAACAGAAAACCAAGGCTCTTAGGGGGAGTAGGTTATCATCCCTAAGTCACACAGTCTGGACTTTTTTTTTTTTTTTTTTTTTTGCGGTTTGCGGGCCTCTCACTGTTGTGGCCTCTCCCGTTGCGGAGCACAGGCTCTGGACGCGCAGGCCCAGCGGGCATGGCTCACGGGCCCAGCCGCTCCGCGGCACGTGGGATCTTCCCGGACCGGGGCACGAACCCGTGTCCCCTGCATCGGCAGGCGGACTCTGAACCACTGCGTCACCAGGGAAGCCCCACAGTCTGGACTTTAATCCGGTATATCCAATACCAAGTCCAGGGCCTGTTACGTAGCACCATGTTGCTCAAAACGTGAATTTGTTTAATCATTTATTTAGCAAATATTTTAGGGAACACAGGAAGAGAATATCCCTCACACTCCTATGAAGCCAACTGCCACTGAACTCAGCACCTGGCACTGAAAAGGTCCTTACTAAATATTTGCTACACTCCAATATGCACTATGGAGGGTACAAAGGTGAAGCAGACAACATCCCCTGTCCTGAAGGGAGACTGAGGACACACAAATAACTACTAGAATATAAACATAGCTAAATGACCCAGCAAAGATATATTCATAAAGCCAGGAGCATTCAGAAGAGAGAGGCTATAGCATGCAGGTGAGTAGAATTGATGTGGTAAAGTCTGAAGCTGGTTTTGATAGATGGGCGGAGTTTTTAATGAAAGAAGTGACGGCATCAGATTTCACAGGTAGATAAAACAGTATCTCTATACACAAAAAGGAAAGAAGAGGCGTATGCTCAGATAATAACAAACTTCAATTTAACAGAAGTGTCAAGCATATTTTAAGAATAGTTATACAAAGGTGCTTTGAGATTAGAATAAAATCAATGGACTTTGGTAGATACTGGGAAGTAAATGAATAGTTTTAGATTATGAGGTACCACAATATGCTCATTTGTGACTATATACCAGGCACTCGTCTAGGTGTTGAGGACACGACAGTGAACAAAAGAAACAAACATCTTCTGTCCTCGTGTATAAAAGGCATAGGAACACGGAGAGACCAGGCAGACCACATGGAGAACTCTCAAAATAGTATGTCATCATCATACACCCAACCTTATTTACACAACACACAAAAGGTCCATGAAAAAAACATAAATACACCTGTCATTCCTAGGAATCAACCTTCACCTGGGTAAAATCCATGACATGCTCATAGTTGTATATTATAATGTGCAAACTCTAAGAGGATCACAAACAAAGGTGTGACAGTTACAGATACCATCAAAATGAAAAACGTATTTTGAAGATCTCTTATTAGATGAGAGGCATTATCTAAATGTAACACATGCTCAAGATGTAAAAGAAACGTTTATCTCCTGAAAGAGCAGAATCAAAAGATCAATAACGATAGCTAAAATTTACTGAGCACTTACTATTCGCCTGGTGCTTTCTAGGATTTTACATGCATTAAGATGGCACTTAATCCTCACAAGTACATCGTGAAGAAGACAATATTATTATATTTTATAGATACCAGGTCACACGTCCAACAAATGGCAGAGCTGGAAGTTAAATGTAGGCAGTCCGATTCTCATGGCTGTATACGTAATGATTCTGCCAAATTGTGAGTTATACCAGGAGCACACCCATGTTTCTTAGCACATAAAGTACATCTACAGTGCTTCATGACAGACTGTGGTGTTCTTGTGTGTGTGAGTGCATGCACATGCATGCACACGTGTGCACATATATATACATACATGCCATTATTTAAAGTTGTATTTTATGAACATATACAATTATATAGAGATGATATGTATTTCTAAATAATATACTGTTATATATTACTAGGCACAATGCTGTGTGTTTGTGTAATTATGAACACCATTAATTACTACTATGTACCTTCTACTATAGACACCCACACAAAAATACACTCCTTTTTAAAAGATGTTAGGGTATGCAGTGAGCCATGAGATGGTTGTTTTGATGCATTCAACTTAAATGATTCCAAAACTAATGGCCACTTTTATCTCTCTGGATATGTATAGTGTAGAAGATATGCATAAATGAATGTATCTTTATGTCAATATTGGTAGTGTCAGAGAACAAATATCAGGTGCATATGTAGTTAAACACCTAATGGTACAAAATAAAGTATGTATCTCAATGTATACCTTTGTGTGTATCTTGGTGAGTATGTTCTACTATTAACATGGTATTTTTATTTTTGTTTTTGTTTTTGGCGGTACGCGGGCCTCTCGCTGTTGTGGCCTCTCTCGTTGCAGAGCACAGGCTCCGGACGCGCAGGCTCAGCAGCCATGGCTCACGGGCCCAGCCACTCCGCGGCATGTGGGATCTTCCTGGACCGGGGCACGAACCCGTGTCCCCTGCATCGGCAGGCGGACTCCCAACCACTGCGCCACCAGGGAAGCCCTTAACGTGGTATTTTTAAGGGGAGGGTGATGAAGCAAAAAACTTAATATAGGAATCAGCTGAAACAAAATTTGTTTCAGAATTCCTATTAATTTGCTTATAAGATTTCAAACACAAGGGGTACCATGAATGGAATACTATTCAATGGAAAATAAGTCTAAATAAGGAAAGTTATTTGATCTAAAAACTATCAGATTATTGAGTGTTGAAAGGCCACATCATGAAATGCTGACACAATAGTACTTACACCCTTCTCCTTTTTTAAATTAATTAATTAATTAATTGGCTGCATTGGGTTTCCGTTGCTGCGCGCGGGCTTTCTCTAGTTGAGGCGAGCAGGGGGCTACTCTTCGTTGTGGCACGCGGGCTCCTCATTGCCATGGCTCCTCTTATTGTGAAGCACGGGCTTTAGGTGCGCGGGCTTCAGTAGTTGTGGCACGTGGGCTCAGTAGTTTTGGCTCACGGGCTCTAGAGTGCAGGCTCAGTAGTTGTGGCGCACGAGCTTAGCTGCTCTGCGGCATGTGGGATTTTCCCAGACCAGGGTTCCAACCCGTGTCCCCTGCACTGGCAGGCTAATTCTTAACCCCTGCGCCACCAGGGAAGCCCCCAGTTCTCCTATGTTGTTCCTCTTTTCCTCCTTTACTACTTCCTTTTGTCTTAAGTGAATATTTCCTAGCGTATTATTTTAATTCCTTTGATGGTTCTTAACTAAATAACCAAGTAACTAAGAGCTACTTTCTTAGGTGGTTGGTCTAGGGCTTACAACATACATCTTAATTTATCAGAATCTACTTCATATTTATACTAACTTAATTCCAGTAAGATACAGAAACTTTACTCTTACATAGCTTTCTTCTGGTCCTCCTTTTTGTGTTATTATTGTTATTCATATAATGTCTATATATGTTTCAAACTCAAAAATACATTGTTATAATGATTGCTTTATAAAAACTTCTTTTTATGAAGTGAAGAAAGAAGAGCTCGATATATTTATAGAGTTTTTTTTAAATAAGCTTATTATTTACCATGTCTGTCTCTCTTCATTTCTTTTTGTGGATTAGCAGTACCATCTGGTGTCATTCCCTTTCTTCAATGTAGCTTCATTCATTTTTTAATTATCAAATATATTACAGTTCTATATGTTATAGGCCCAACAATACAATTTTATAGATTGTTTTATGCAACTGCTTTTTAAATCAGTTAAAAGAAGAAAGAAAAAGAAATGTGTGCTTATACTCTTTTATCATTACCTACATAATTACCTTTATTGGAGCTCTTTGTTTTTTCATGTAGATTCAAATTACTGTCTGCTTTCACTTCCTGAACTTCTTTTAGTAGTTCTTAGAAGGCAGGTATACTAGCAATGAATTCTGTTTTTTTGTTTACCTGGATACATCTTTGTTTCACTTTCACTTTTGAAGATGCTTTTGTTGGCTATAGGATTCCTAGCTGATGTTATATTTTTTTCAGCACTTTCAATGTCAACTCACTGCGAGACACCAGCTGTTAATCTTATTGTGGGCCTTTGTATACGATAAGCCATTTTTCTCTTGCTTTCAAGATTTTCTCTTTGACTTTCAACATTTCTATTATAATGAGTCTGGATGCGAATGAATTCCTTTGTACTGATCCTACTTAGAGCTCACTGATGTGTAAATTAGTGTTTTTCCTCAAATTTAGGAAATCTTCAATCATTAATTCTTTAAATATTTTTTCTGTCCTATTCTCTCTCTTTTTTCCAGAACTGCCATCATACATATGTTGGTACTCTTAATGATGTCCCATATTTCTCTGATGCTTTATCTTCATTCATTTTTCTTTCTTCTAT